TCTCCTAACTTCTCATCCCGCCGATAGTCAAATGTTTGCTTTTAAACACAATAATTTTGATTTTTTAATCGATGGACGAGTTAAAATAGGGTTTGGCAATACTTTCATTTCATCAAGTCAAACTTTTTTAAACAAAGTTCATACTGAAGACTGAACAACGTCTAACATTGAAAAAAACATGGTAAATATTCTTGTTAGGGTTTCTGTCCCGACATCAACGTAGGATTGCGTTCGAGATATCAGAGGCTCATGCGACGATTCTTGTGTGGGTCTGATTCGGGCGTTAACTGCGTATACCCCCCAATGCTACAACGAATGAGAAACACCCTCGATCGAGCCACCTCTGTGATTACATATGAAAAACCTTCGCACGGGGCTTTGTCGCTCGACGAGGAAATGTTCGCCTAAGGAATGGTGATAACTCCCGAGGGTAAAGGTAAGTTGTGCCTCTCGTGGCCCTATCCTGTCGTAGTGAACCTGAGAGGTATGATTGACGCATTCAGTCGGAGCGACAAAACGCTTTTTGTGACAAGTTATGCAACATCCTGCGTGACTCGACCGGGAGGGTCCCCTTGAGGGACCGATGTGCTCGGTAACGAATGCATCAATATTGATTTGTAACCAGCCTATTAGGCGTACGCCATGATTCCATCATAATTTTATTATAATTCCATCATAATTTTGTTTATAATTAAATCATAATTTTATTTTAATTCCATCATATTTTTATCACGAATTCATCACAATGTCATCAAAACACGAAGTCATGTGCTTAACTGTTGACTAACATAGTATCAATTTGTGTAGCACACCGAATATGCTCGTTTTTTTTTCGAACGTCCGAACATGTTCAACTGTTCGATTGAATCTCCCCCGAACATGTTCAGTCGAAGATATATTTTTTATGATTAAAAAATATATATATATATTTTTTTTTTTTGAACTCGAGTTTTGTTATGAATTTGAACAGACCTATCAAACAAAAGTTATTTGTATTACCATTCTACACAACATACTTAGTATTTGGTATATTGTTGTCTTTCGCACTCATTGTCTCTTGCATGTATGTGTTTGATTATGATATACGAATGACTGTGTGATTGTCTGATTTGTCATGCTAAGTTTATAATTATCATACTTTCACCATTTAATTTGATTTAATCATCAATCATCATCATCAATTATTCTACGTAATATTGATTTCATATAATTTATGATTTTATTTTATTTTATTTTTAATTATTTTTGTGTTCGCGTTCAGAGGGTTTTGACTCTCGTTCACGTTCGATCGCGGACGTTCAGGCTTGGTCACCAATGCAAACACGATGCTACAAAATATGAACAGTTTATCGATGACTGAAAGTTGAACAGTTCAACTATATAACATACAACTATTGGTTTTCATCACTTTTTGTAGAATATGAAGCATGTGTAAGGATAAACTGCTTATAAATAGTTTAAAGGATGGGAAACCCCACGAACAAAAGAAAAAAAAAAAAAAACGATAATTTTGTATATATTTTATATAATCATGTATATTTATTTCATAAATTTTTTTCTTTTGAACTTCAATTTTTTTTCAATATTTTACTGACATTAGTGAACATGTCTCTGTAATGTAAATCTAATGTCATAAATTTTAAGATGATCTCCTATCGAATTGTCGTTAAAATACTAATGTATCCTACAACATTGTTTTTATAGTTATGTAATGTATTATGCAAGTTTTTTCTCTATTTATTGACTATTATGATAACAATTAACTTTAAACTATCCATACCTCTGAAAGTTGTAGCCATATGTGTGCCCCAACATGCTGGGATGAACACGATTTAGCGTTAGTATAAATTTATTTAAGTGGAAACGTGTCGACATTGTAACAATGACTAGTTGCATGCGTACCACGACTTTAGACAGTACTGACAATTTAATGTAATAAAAAAATTGTTATCCATAACATCGTGATGCTATTGAAAGAGTGGAATAAAAATGTTTTGGCAGAAGCATAACTTACTATAAATATAAAAATTTTATTTTGGTAAAATAAATACTGCCAAGATTTATACTAAGCCTAAGAAGAGTGCTAATTTTTAAGAAGTTTGATGAGTCAAGTACTCCAATTAATATATAAGTTAGAATTATCTTTCGGAATGTTACTTTGTTATTATTTTTTTAATTTATTCATTTAGAAAAATTATTGTCAAATATTTTTGTTAAAAAAATAAATAAAAATTGGAGACCAATCATAAGTATAAAATTTGTATTTTTTGTTTGATGTAAGAGTTGCTTTGGTTATGGGAGAGACTGACAAAGTCTCTATCGAAAGATTTATAAATCAAATCGGGATGTGAAAATGAAGTGTATTCTCTATTGATTTAAATACATAGATAATACTGTAGTTTGTGTCTCTGATTCAAATCGCATACTATTACAAGGATTTGTGAAACACTATAGCCGATGATTTAATAATCACAAACTTTTATCATCAACTAATAAATGTTAATTATTGATAACAAACCGTTTGCGGATTAACCTTTGTATACGTTAACAATTATATTTAAACTTGAACCTTATATGAAAAAAACATTTCATTAGATTTTCAATTTATTGATGCTCAAATGATTTTTGATTGTGAAAGACATAAACAAATTGATAAGTTGAAAAATATTATAAGCAAATTGATAAGTTGAAAAATATTAAGATGAAGATAATTTATTAGTGTAAGAGAAAATCAAGGCGAGACTGAACGTTAAACTCATAAGCATTTGATATATCTCTGATTTTGTTCATTTGTGAAAAATTTAAATGGATTGAATGTTTAACGAAGCGCGGTTGAATATGTGGAAAGTGGATTGACAAGTTGTATTTGTCACAATAAGAGTAACTGCATTTTGTTTTGCGTGAAAACTTCAATATATGGATGAATACATCTTATTGAAATAAAATGGGTATAATCTGTATGAAACCAATGTATATTTATGTAGAATTCTCTAATGTTTTATGTGATCAACTAATTTGAATGTAATATTAACCTTATATTTGACTAAGTAGTATATTTTGATGTGAAAAGGTGAAACTACGAGCAACCGAGCGAATAACGTAAACATTACTCCTTAAAATGGTCAAGTCGACGTTGATCGTATGACATAATCAACCGCCGACTCAACGCATAACTAAATTTATGAGGGATTAAAAATATGAATATAAGTGTAGTGTGGTTTCGTTTTAGGATTGATAGTAGAACATGTATGTCTTAGATAGAAAACTGAGATTGTTATAAAGTGTCAATCATGACCACTCTTGCGTCATGCAACTGTGATAACTTTGTTTTGCTTAACGCAAATGATGAAGGGGCACACGACTACATACACAACCCCTTGGTGGCAAGAAGTAAGACTTTCCCGACGCTTTTCATATGAGATTCAGTACACGACCATAAAACCCAGAAAAAACCATACATTCATGGGTATCGTGTAAAAAGTAATTTTGACAATTTGTGAGGTGTTACATACATGGGTATTATAGTGCCGCTAAAGTGTCACACGCAACATATTTACGAATTTGCGAAAATTATAACTTATCATTTTTGTATAAAATAAATTATGGGTTGATAATGAAACAAAACTAGAGACATGTAAAGATAAGATTGGACTCGTGCGATTGGAAAGATCGGCCTGTGATTGCGTTTGGGAGGTTAACACACAAAATGATTGCTCATAAATGAGTTTCGTTTGAACGTTGTTGTATGTACCGTTATGCTCGACTGGTCCACCTTAAACATGACATGTAAAAACCACAATATATGGGTTAATAGCTCACTGGGTATACATCCATATATGAATGGTACACCCCTTACGGTGGAGGTAAGTTCTGCCTCGTGATACCCTTTTCTTTCACGAGAAATAGTGAGAGGTATAGTTGGCGCACTTTGCCAAATCGATATATTTCGATGAGATGGGTCAAAGAAATAAACTATTGCATGATACAATCAAGCAGATCCTTGACGCAACGGCAGGGGTCGATGACCTCGATAACACATCTCATGGACATGTTAAATTTTATGGGACGACAAGTCACCTTAAAGTTGTTTTGGTGAGATCAATGCAGCGACCTTACGAGATCATGACAATGAGTCAAAAACATTACCATGCATTCTCCTATGCTACAACGAGAATAAACTCCTCATAGCTGGTTCACCTCTAGCACAATATATAATAGTCACCCTACGTGGATAGGTAGCTGGGCAGGGATACGCCTTGAAGGATGGTGACTCGCAGACCCTTGTCTTTTCATAGGGGTTGATGAAAAATATAGTTGGCCCACATGAATGGCGCAACTCCTTCATTATATTTATGCCTAGCGTTTTCCTCATTTGTGATGCGACCAGGACCCCTCGAGCAGCCTCCACCCTCGCGGGTAGATGCCGTTTACAATGCTTTAAAACAATTGAGAGCACTCTGTTCAACCCTTCCGTTGCTTCAATTTCATAAAACCGACCTGGTGTCGGTTCTTTCCACCACTACCTTTCCCAAGCGAAGTGAAAAGGTTACGGATGGGCCTAGCTCAGCTCGTACACCCACAAACTGTTCGAATAGAGACACAACCAGATGATCAGAATAAAACCATTCTGAATTCTGAATTACCTGGGGCCAGTCAGTTCAATGATGATATCTCAAGGCCATGGCCCTTGAAAAAAATAAAATAAAATTAAAAACGTAACATTCTGGGTTTTCCGGAGGCTCGTGGCTATGGGAGAGTGATGGCTGGCATATCATCCTGGGTTTTCCGGAGGTTCGGGGATTCCGGACCGCCGAGGCTGGCGGCGCGAGCCAGACCGGAAAAAAAAGAGCTGCGCCGGTGTTCCGGCGAAGCTTAGCGCACAGGGGCAATCCCCCTCGGCAAAAAGAGGCTCGGAGGCAGTGCGGTATAAGAGCGAGTGAAAAAGAAAAGAACGGAGAGTTGTTGGAGAGTGTCGAAATGGAGAGTTAGGTGGAGCGAAGGCCGGAAAGTGTAGATTTTCGAGTCCGCTAACTCTCCATCTACTCTCCATTTTGGAGGACAATGGAGAGCGGTGGAGCGTGGAGACCCTTAGAAGAGATCGGCGGAGAAGCAGGTGCTTTTCAGGATGGTAGCAATTCAGCGGAAAGGTGCGTGGGCTCCATGGGCTCTGCGAGAGGAAGGAACCACATGCCCGCAGAATTAGGGACGAGGGCGATGGCGGATGGGCAACTGGGAGCGGCGGGATGGGGTGCAGCGGCTCGGCCAGAGAAGGTGGTCGGTTATCCGGCTCAGCCCGCAACTAGGGGAGGAGGGGAAGCGAACGGAAAGGAAGTATCGGCCACTTCGAACGCTGTGTCCTGCTCCCCCTCCCTCTCCTCGTCCACCTCTCCTCAACATGTAGCAGCAGCGGATACGCGTAGTAGTAGTGGGGCGAGGCTCCTCCCATCGCTTTCCTTTGCGTTCGATGACGACGCCGGTGATGATGAAGGTGATGCGGCACAATTCTATGAGGAGGCGGCTGCTTTCGAGGGACGCGGGGAGAAAGGCGAGGACGGGAACTCGGGGTCGGTGTTGCGCGGGGACATGAAATCGAATTGTCCCATCATCACCTGTGGGCTGGTAGAGGAGGTAGGCGGGAAGGTAGGAGATGGTGGGGATATAGGTGCTAATAGTGACGGGGGCGGGATGGGTCATTTATTCGGTGGCGTAGGTTGCGAACCATATGTCTACGAGGTGGATTTTTCCAATTCAATCGCACTGGTGGAGGGAAAGGCGGGAAAAAACTCGTTTTTGCAGGACGACAATCCAGTCTCTGCGGCCGCGGATACGCCTCTGTTGCGCAGCGCTGAAGCTCGAGACGTGGACGTGAAAAAGGATACGGGCGGTATGGAGCTGAAGGAGAGCAAGGAGCCGACTCGGAAGGAAGGTGACGAGGTGTGTTCACCCGCGGCCATGGAGAACGCTGCTGGGTGGGGGGGAATGGAGGGGGATACTGCGGGAACAGGGGGCCGCGGCGGAGATCAGGATGAGAGGGAGAGGAGGCAAGAACAAGCGGGGGGAGGACAGCGAGTGTCGGCAACGCAGGGAATGGCGCTGGCGCAGGCCGAGCGGACTTACAGCGTATCCCCGATTCCCTTCGGGGGAAGCACGGCCGACTTCTTTGCTGGTGGGGAGGAAGACGCGGATTTCTTCACGCAGATAGCAGCGACGGCGGAAGAGGAAGATCATCATCACTCGATGATGACGGCAACTTGCGCAGCGCCGACGGAAGCAGATGGAGGGGCACTCGGGTGGGCGTACGACGGGGGTTTCCACGCGGGCGGGGATCAGCTCACAGAGACAGGCGACGACTTGACTGGAGGAGGAATAACCACCGGAAGTCCGCCGAACGGGTATATGCAGAACGCCTGCTACCTCGGGGGTGCGGGAGGGCCAGGGCAAGCGTTCGAATACGGCTGGGGAGGAGGAGGGCAGGGGACGGAGTTTGGGGGAGATGGATATGGGGGTGGAGCGGGACATGCGGCGGGATTGGAGAGTGTTATCCAATCGGCGCCTGGTATGGCGGACTCCGGGGACTTTGGAATCGGAGCCAGTGCAGAGGCACCAAGCGCAGAGATGGTGGAGTCGTCCTTGTCGGGGGGGGCAGGAAATCAGACGACTGGCGGTCAGACGTGGTATGGTGGAGAGGGGTACACGAGCGGCGGCTATTGGCAACGGCAGCAGGCAAACGAGTGTGGAGGGACGGAGGAAGGGTTTCAAGGAGGATATGGATTGATGACGCAAGGTGACGTTGTGGTGGAGGCTGGGCAGCAGCAACAATGGTACGGCTTGGGCGGGATGGAAGGGAGGGTCGGAGCAGGCGGGAACGATTCTTCTACGATGGATGTTCAAGGAGAATCGCTGCATTACACCTCCGAGGAGTATCCAGGATGGAGATGGAATCTTGTAACACAGCAATGGGAGGTCGATCCGAACACAGCGGCTTGGCCAGAACACCAGGAGGCCGCGTATGTGGCACAGGGTGGCCAAGACGAGGGGATTGTCAGGTCAGGAGAAGCAGGTACACAGATGCAGCATGCTGATGGAGGAGCGATGGGGGTTTACAAGGAGTATTTTCCTGAGAAGCAGCCTGGAGGGAGTCAGATGATGGGGGGAAACGAGTGGTATGTGGATCCGCAACAGCAGCAACAGCAGTTTGTCGGGGTGTCAGGGGGAGGAAAGGGATTTTCTGGCGGTGGTGGGGAAGGGGACGAAATCTCAGACAAGAGAGAGGGGACAGCGAAGCGAATGGGGGCTTCGTCTTCTTCTGCTGAGGGATCGGAGTACTGGGGGAAAGGGTTGGGCGCGTCGGCATCGGTTGCCCTGCCTGGTGGTGGTGGAGGAAGGATGGAGGAAGAGAAGGGTAGGCGGGCTTCGACATCGTTTGGTCAATCGGGTTGGGGGGGGGACAGCAACCAGGTGCCCCCTGTAGACCACTATGCCTCAAGTGGGCAGTACAGTGATGGGGGAGTGATAAGCAGTACATGGAATCAGGATGAGGCGAGTCTGAGGAAGGCAGACGTGATGGACGGCCCGTCGTTTTCCCCACAGCACCAGCCGCAGTACCAACAGCCTCCACCTCAGCAGCATCAACCAATGAGGTACATGCCAAAGCATTTCGCCTTGGAAAAACAGCTGTGGGCCGACACCCCCCCGAAGACGAATGATGAGGCGATGAGATCGACGGCGGGTAGGCCATCGCACGCCTTGGTTGTCTTCGGCTTCGGTGGACGAATGGTGGTGGCGAAGCCGCTGGTGTCAATGCATTTGCGCACCAGCACTGGCAACGAGGTATTGAATTGGTCGGCCATGGACCATCCCTTAAAAAACTTTCTGCACGGTTCTCGTTCTTCTTCTTCTTCTTCTTCTTCTTCTTCTTAGCAGGGCCGTCCAGGGAAGCGGCCTATTACTGTATTGTTTTCTCATTGTGCATATCATCATCCAGAACAGCAGAGAGTCTTTGTCAGGGGAGTGGCCTGTTATCGTATATACGTGCATGTGATTGGGCCAGATATGCCTGTACACAAGCCTGCCTGTGATCAAGGATTGTTAGCATCAATTGCTGTAATTAATTAATGTTAGAAAATAGTAATGCTGTACCGTTATGAATGGGTGCGGTGTGAACGGGCGGTGGTCGTACTGGTAGAGAGCTACCTACTCCATCATAGCTGTATTTGGAGCCATTTTCAGTCTAAATACAGCAATAATGACTGCACGTTGTATTCGGGAGAAGGTAGGAAAGAATGGATGGCCGGATTGGTCGTGTTACGACTTATTACAGTAAGTCTGAGGCGTGCGACATGACGAAGTTACTGTGGTTTTTGCCTATTTGATTGATCCTTCGTTGCGTGCGTTTTTTCCTTTTTTTTATTTTTTTCCAATGAATATGAACTCGATCATGGCATATGTACGTCGCTAGTTTCCGATTATCAACAGCAAACAAAAGAGCTATGGGTCGGTTTTTGACACCCCGTCCACATGGCATCCATCACAGTAGCAGCACGAACGGATACTGTTGACTAGGGGTGTGGTTTGCCCTTGTCCACTGCACTGGGTTCGTCCATGGAGACCATCCCGCCGTCCACATGGCATCCATCACAGTAGCAGCACGAACGGGTACTATTGACTAAGCACCACCCTCTTTTAACAGTGGCGGTAACTTTCCTGCCGGCATCATCAGTACCGTCCTCACCCGAATAGAACGTACGTACGGTCATTAAATGTGGCTGCACGTGGGCGAACTGTCAGTCTACACGGCAATAATGACGGTACGTTCTATTCGGGTGGAGACGGTAGTTTGTAGACGGCAGTGCACGTGATGGAATGGGCTAAAAATTCGTCAAAGCGGTACGGGAGAGGAGGCGAGGGCGAAAACTCCGTCAAAGGTACAGACGACTTTGGTGTCTGTCTGTGATCAGTTGGAGGAGGCGAGGGCTAAAAATTCGTCAAGGCGGTCGGAATAGGTTTCAAAAACCACGTTCAAAGGTGTCCTTAAAGAGGGCGTACCGTCGTCGACCCTCCACGTGGGGGCTTTGTGCGTTGCATCTGGACATTATACTACATAATGGATGCAAAACCACGTGGACTCGATGTTTTCCACCTCCGGTGTCACTTTCCCCTGAGGATGTATCAATGGACGAAATACTTCCCGTGGGGGCTTTGTGCGTTGCATCTGGACAGAATACTACATAATGACCTAAAAGATTGGAAGGTTGCTTCTGGACGGAACATAAAGTTCGTTTGCGGAATGGTTTTCGTTTGGAGCGGAAGTTTTTTTTGGTTGAAACGTGTCTTCCTTTCCCGCGTGCGTGCTTCAGGGCCTCTTGGCGCACGATTCTGCGCGCTCTCTCTCTCAGTCGAGCTTTCTCCTTGGCGCGCTGTGCAGGGCCACCTCACTTGAGCGATCTTCCACCGAGCGCTTTACCCTTCCCCCTCCCTATTCTCACCCTCCCACGCCCTCTCCGACCCCCTCTTCTACTCTATCTATGTTTCGCAGCATCTCTTACATGCTTTCCCGACTCTCTCGCCACGCTCTCCAACAGCCTCTCCCGTGCTGTCGTTGCTGGGAAACACCTTTCTTCGCCACGGACCCTCTTTGCCCTCTGTTCTCTTCCTAGCGGTTGGCCCTCTCGTATGGTCTTCTCTCTCTTGCGCTCGACGCATCTCTCCCTTATGCCTCAGCGGTCAGGGACTTGACGACACCTTTTATGCCTACTAGCCTAGTACGACCATCTTCCTCCGCATAGAACGCCCGGTCATTATAGCTGTATTCGAGGCATCTTTGAGTCTAGATACAGCGGTAATGACTGCACGTTCTATTCGGGTGACGACGGTAGTAACGCGTTTTGTGACTGCTAGTCGAGTACTAGGAGACTCTAAAGACACTCAAAGAACTTGGGCATTCTGCAAGGCAGATAACAGATGAGGGCATACTCACACACCAGGACTTTTTCCACTAAGCTCTGCACGTGATTGCAGTCAGGTTCATCCACGTCTGGCCATGATTGCAGTCAGGTTCATCCAGGTCTGGCCGTGATTGCAGTCAGAGGGAAAGTTCTAGCGTGAGTATTCCCTAAGTTTGGTAAAAGTCGAATCCTTTACTCTTCTGGTGACGGGAGCAGAGAGGGAAATCCGAGGGGCCGACTTTGAGTAATGAAGCGATACAATCAACGAATGAATGTGGGCAACAAAATGAATCTCTCTCCCTGGTCTCCTGAGTCGGTTCCGAGCACTTTCTCCAGTCCTCTCACGCGCGTGCCCCGTCTGACGCTGCCCACCATTGTCGCTCTCCTGCACTCCTCAGTCCTCGGCACCGGCATTCTCTCTCTATATTTTGTGTGCCCGCCTCGGGGGCTATTGGATGCGAGGAGGATCCCGAAGAGGCGCTGAAGACAACGCGTACGAGACTGGCTTCTTCTTCCTCTGCTGGACGAAATCGGTAGACGAATGGGGGACGCCTGCAGGTATTTGTAGGCACACATACAGGTAGATAATCTAGATAGATCATTAACCACTGGATAGCAGGGATGGAGGGATGATGGAAGGAAATAGAGCGTAAGTAGAGCCGTATAAATGACTAGGTAGACAGATAGATGGGCAGCAGATAGAGAGGTAGGATTAGAGTATGCATGCATGGGAGGAGAGGTAGGTGGTCCATCACCTAGTGGGTGAAATGATTATTGAGTTGGAGAGCAACTCACCGCTTAATATCACTTTGTTGATGAGTCGATCTGTCAATCGATCTATAGTCAATGTGTTGACCGGTTAATCGTGATGATTGTCGCAATGAGGTTATAAGAGAATAAAGATAGAGAAGAAGAATGATTCATCTTGTGGTCTTCCTGCTGTGAGAACGGTTAGGGCAGGTTCATGCACCCGTGGGAAATGAGCTGTGCGTGAGTCTATACACAGACACACACACACACACACACACACACACACACAGAGAGAGAGAGAGAGAGAGAGAGAGAGAGAGAGAGAGAGAGAGCGGTTAGGGCACTCTGATCCCCCCGTGGGAAATGAGCTTTGCATAGACTGTGTGTGTGTGTGTGTGTGTGTGAGAGAGAGAGAGAGAGAGAGAGAGAGAGAGAGAGAGAGAGAGAGAGAGAGAGAGAGAGAGAGAGAGGATGCCATGTCGATTAGAACTGATACAGCTTTAATCGCGGCATTTTCAGGGCGGAATTCGTTTATGCCTGTCTCGATCGCGGCTTACCAAAAGCCGAGCAAGTCGTGGTGGTACCGACGCCTGTCGTTATTTTTTCTTTCCCCTTAGGATCAGATGTTAAACTGCCGAGCGGTATTGCCCGTCGGTCATCGCTTTCGAGCCTTTTCCTTTGTTTCTCAATAGAAGAACGTGGCCTTGAGAAGAACTCCCTTTTGGAATTGCCCGTTTCTTCACGTCTGCTTTTGTTAATGTTTGTGCTTGCGTTTGTCGTTGGATGGTTGCTCCACCTGCCCTTTCAATAATGGCATGTTGTTTCCTTGTGTGGTTGTGTGTGGTTGATGCCTGTTTGCTTTGTTCTTGATCTGCTGTGTTCGTGGTAGTCTGGGGGTACAATTTCAGCTCACGGTCCAATTTCTATCTACAGTTTGAATCAGGTGGTGTGCTCGTCTGGGGAAGATGGTGACAGCATGGGAGGTAACGGGAGGTTGCACTTTGCATGGTTAAGCGGTAATGCTCTGGCTGGGCCGTTAGTCGGTGGGGGAAACGTATCTCAAAAGGATTTGCTGAAGTGGATAGACGAGAGAGCAAGCAAATGCCACGTGGAGGAGCCTGAATGCCGAAATCCAGAGTCACTGCGGATGCTATGGGGACTGCTGAAAGTTGCCTGCCAGCATTATGGCAGGCTGCGATCGGTTGGTGTTACTGGTACGGGGGCCTCACAGGTAAGGGAAGTTCGTTTGCGGTGGGTGAAGATTGCAATCGTCTGATGAATGTATGTGGGGGGATGGAGAGGAGGGGCAGTTATATGGGCAACACAACAGTTGCATGCTCTTGTATTGCCTGATGATAATGATGATGATGAGCTCAGCGGAGGAGGAGGAAGGTAATCGCCACGGTTGTTAATGGTGAATCGAGCTGTGATAAGGTAATCGCTGCATTGATTGAAAAGAATGTTGTGCAGGTGGCGGGCAATTTTACAAGTTGGCAGATATTTTCCTTCCTCACCTGGAGCGTGTTCTGGGACACATATATGCACTCTGTGTGTGTGTGTGTGTGTGTGTGTGTGTGTGTGTGTGTGTGTGTGTGTGTGAGAGAGAGAGAGAGAGAGAGAGAGAGAGAGAGAGAG